AATAATAACAATAACTTTTTTGAAAACTGGGGTGTTACAACGGATATCACTTCTCTTTGGTTTAGTCTTTCAGAGATCAACATGCTCTTAGGGTATGAAGTACCTCAATCCTAGAGCTCTTAACAACGACTACCAATCAAATTACAAGTAGGGATGGCAACGGGGCGGGGCGGGTACAAGTTTCATGATACCCGTCCCCGTCCCCCCGAGCCCAACTCATCCCTGTCCCCGTACCCATACCCGTCGGGTATGTGATTTTCATCCCCATCCATGTCCCCGTCGGGTATCGGGTATACCCGTACCTGTACCCGTACCCGTCAAAATTTTTATTTTTTATTTTTATTTTTAAATATAATATTTTTAAATTATTTTTTTAATTATATTATAATTATAATTAGGTTATTTCTCTATGTCATATTATAATAAATAATCACACATAAAAAAATATTAAAATTCTTTAATATAATTAAATTGAAAGTGAGTATTAAATTTCACACATAAAAAAATATTAAAATTCTTTAATATAATTAAATTGAAAGTGAGTATTAAATTAAAAATGGGAATGGGGACGGGTACGGGTACGGGGCGGGTAAGTACATACCTGTACCCGTACCCGTACCCGATTTAATATATCGGGTTTTACCCCATACCCGTACCCGTACCCGGTCAAACCGGGTATTCCCCGTCAAAGTCGGGACGGGTTCGGGTATTACCAGCGGGTACGGGTATATTTGTCATCCCTAATTACAAGGATTATGGAACTGATAGTATTACATTAAAGATATGTTACACTTAAAAATAAACTATTTTAATGAGAATGATTTTATGATTTTTAACTAGAGTATTTTCTTAGAATTTTTCTTAATTTGTTATCTCTTTCAGTCTAGCTTTTTTATCTTTACTTTTTAATCTAAATTATGATATATTTTTTTAAAAAAATTATTAATATTTAAAATTTTTGCATATTTGTTTGATTTCACTCCACAAACTAAAATACAAATAGGATTATAATAAAGTAAAAGATTTTATAATTTATTATTAGGTTTAAAATATATAAATTATAAAATATTATTTGGGATTGGACTTAATTAGGTCAATTTGAAGTGTGGCTCAACTTAAAGATAACATTGTAAAGAATAACATTCATTTTAAACATCTATAAAATATTCTAAAGATATCATAGGTTGACTTGACTTAGTATTATAGATAATTGTGAATGTGATCTAAGATAGTCATATTAACCATTTAACATTATAAGATAGTAAAAACTAAAAATACTAATTTTAAATTTTATAAGCATAAAGAAAAAAGAGATTTTTTTTTAAAAAAATCACCGATCAAAACTTGTTAATCTTATAAAAATTAAAAATATATTTAAGACTTATTTCTTTTCTTTTTTTTGCAAAATTAATCTCTCAACCCAAACGATTATTTAGCAGTTGTAATTATACAGTTTAAAAAAAAAATTATAATTATACTACTTAACATGTGAATCAACCAGCGTAATATTGCTTCAACTTAACCAATTCTCTGTAACAAAAGATAAATAATATTAGTATTTATTTATAAACTTGTTTCTAACTATATAAGATAAGCTGATTTCAATGCTCACTGATCCACATACGTATTGAACCATTGATCTATTTTTTATTTGTACATATGAAATGTCATTGTTCGTTCGGATATTTTAAAGAGAAACGTTTCTTCCATTAAATAATGAAAGGTTTAGTGATTGGGCGATTTGAGCATAATCATTATAACTAAAGACTAGTAAATGATAAACAAATAAGGTTGTGCGACGTTGAAAGAGTTTATTGAAGGAATTGAAAATTAATCATGGCCAACCTTGTAGGAATTCCTACGTAGATTCTATCTAGACAACGAAACGTATACGTAAACTCTGCCTACTTCCATTTATTTGTAGGCAATTCTCATGGCAACATTTGTTTCATATTATATTTTCATATTCTTAGGAATAATATATTTTAGAATATTATTTCAAATAATATAAGAAAAATATGTTTGATTCATTTTAATATTCTTTAGAATAATTTTAAATTTTTAAAACAATTTAAATGAAAATAGAAGTTACAAGAATTATAAAAAATTTATTTCAATATTCTCATGAAGATATCACTGTGAGAATAAAATTTCCATAAATATCACTTTTTCATGAATAAAAGATACTAAAAATATTATTACATGACCTTCTAATAAATATGGGAATAAACATTTTCACCTTTCATATTTTTTGGAATAGATAAAAATAACCTGAAATAAACATCTCCTTAGTGATCTTTTATGCATTTTTTTTAATACACCATATAAAATAATTTTTTTAACTATATTATTAATATAAAATATATATCAACTTCATTAATAATTAATGTCCGTCAAAAATCATGATTGGCCACCTTGGTAAAAAAAAATTTCCAATTACATTTTCTCTCTCAATATACTAGACAATCTAAGATCTTACTTAAAAAGACCAAATTCAATATTACTCAAACTAACAATTTGTTGATAGAGAATAGTGGTCTTTAGTAAATAATAGTGTGCTTTTCAACTAATAATAAATAATAAATTATTAAAATTTCAACATATTTCACTTCATTGTAACTCTATTTTATCTTTTATATACATCTCTTATTTTGAAAGAACTTGCTAATGTTAAAATAATGTTTGATTAACAATAATCACATTTTTCAAACATAAATTAACTTTAGAATACAGTATGAATTGTGTTCATGGATAGTTCATGGATAAAATAAATAAATAAATGCTTGAGCACTCATATCGTAATTAATGGATAAGAGTATAGATTGAAACAAAGTGTGCAAAGTTTGTCTAATTACAAACTAAATCTTATCCCACAAATTTTACTTTTTTCTTTCTCTCTCTACATTTGTATCAACTTGATTTAGTATATTTAAACATTTAAATACTAAAGTTGTTTTGACAGCTCCCCTACATCACAGACCAGTTCAGTTACTTTTCTAAATCAAACACTTTCTTTTGTCCCTTTCATCCTTTCAATTCAATGACCTAGAAATAATAACTATTTTGAAGCATAGGCCACACGTGTGACAATGTTTCAGGTGAGAGCACTTGTTTGGATTTTGTCATGAGATCCAAGCAAACAAAGATACAATGTGCCATATAAGAATCACACAATACACCCAAGCTTAAAACAAACAATTTAGTAAAGGTAAGGATCGAACAACATTGACTATGCAACTTGTACAGAATACCAGTATTTAACTATGCCTCAACCTTCCAAATCACCCAGTGGTTTAGTGTTCCAAATGCTAAATGCCTTAACATTAAAAGGGGATTTGAAAACGTCCTTCTAGAAATTTTACTTGCACCAATGAAACTAGTGTTTAAGAATTTGTCCATGATTATTCTGAACTTGCTACTTCAGCATACTCTACGGGGTCCAAAGCTGGTACATAGGCCTGAATGCATGTTTTATTTCCCATACACAACTTTGAACAAGTTCTGCATGCTGATCAAACAATTCTAGTGAAGAAATCAAGTGGATTAACCGATGACAAATTTGAAACAGTTCAAGTAATACAAGTTCCTGACAAAAGATTGAATTACAAATATTACCAGATAGATGATGGCACTCATCATGGTTGGTCTTCATTGGACCTTGTTCGGGTCAGACGTCGACGCCTCCTTGGCACAGGAGATGCATCTTCACCCACATCGCTAAACATACGTAGATCATCATCAACATTGTTATCATGAAGACCCAATAGATTTTCACCCCAAAGATAGCGCCGACGTTCAGATGAACGCCGGTGCCTTGTCCATGCCCTCGAATGAGCTCTTGGTTCCCTAACAATTTCAATGGTACTATCCATCATCTGAAACAAGATGGTGGTGGTTAACCAAGGCCTGTTGGCATTGATATCGTTGCCTTCATGTTCATCTGATAACCTACCAATACCATCTCCGTTCTCAAGAGCATAATCACCAACTAGCACAGCTCCTGGCATAGCAGACTGAATAGCACTCACAATGTCACCATATTCTCTCTGGCGCTCAAAATGTCGCCAGGCTCTTTGTCGTGTAGGATCAACGTCGGAGGGACGAGAAGTAGGATGAACTCTCCTTGCATGCCGACGCAATCCCAGATAATCACCTACAAATGAACAGGAGTCCCTTGAGCAACTTCTCTTCTTCATGTTGAGATAATTTCTAGCCTCTTCATGCACCTCCCAGCCCAATACTATGCCTCGACATAAAGGGCATTTCAAGTTCAATTTTGAGTCAGATGAATTATCTACATCAAAATCCTCAAGCACAGCCCTGTCCTGCAAGGTCTCAGAATCAGCAGTTTCTAAAATGCCTTCATCATGTGGGTCTAAATGTCTACTTGGATCTTGGGCATCACCCTGTCTTGATCCTTGTGCAAGTCCAACAGACAATAGAGTATTAATTTCATTTTGATGGAGTTCATTAACATCATGCATGTCAGATTGCACAGTAAGGTTAATATCAAAAATATTACCAGAGATGTTTGTGTTTACAAGAGAACTTGGTAAATTTTGGTTCTCCTTAGAATTGTCCCTCATTTTTTTAAATCGGTCCAGGCAATTTGAATGTCTATAACTTGTGTCACAAATGTAAGATCTGCAGCCCTTCTCATGAGAGCTGCAAAGGAGGAGAACAGCATTATGTGGATGGTCCATGCAGATAGGACATGAAACTTCATCCAATTCTTTGTGAAGAGCATGGATATCTGAATCACTACATAATCTTCTCTTAACACCAGCCATCTTCTTCGCACGGTGTTAACTACTCATCATATTGAACTAATTAGAAAAGGATGCAAGTAACCAGACATTTTTTTTTTTTTCATTTTTTCATAACAAGATAGCATAAACGCAATTTTTTTTTTACATAAGATTAAAAATCACATACACGGTCAACAGTAGAACAATTTTATTTATCTAAGAAAAGGAGAAGAGTTAGAATAAACGTGTAACAAACTGAAACTAGATATAATAAACTCCATATGAACCACTTAAGCTTTGTCCTATTGTGAATGTATGTGCCCAAGCATGTATAAACAACAGCAATTTGCACAATGATAAGATTGATTGATAATATTTTTCAAACTTCTGGTTAATTCCTTTCCCCCAATATCTATGTATTCCTTTATATTTAATTCTATCGTCCTTTCTTTCTCCCTCTCAAACATTAATAAGCGATAAAAAGTACAAATGGGAAAATTTGACTTTGACTAAATATTGTATAACCTTTTCCCTTTTTTCCACACAACAGTGAAGCCTATATATACTATCCTTCCTACACAAAACGAAAAACAAGAATGTAATATTTTGATTCTATCATTTCTCTGTATGATTTTGAAATTTAAATCGCCAATGAATATAATCTTCATCTAGGGTACTAATATGTTGAGTCTGCGGTGCATCCATTAATTTATAATTTAAAATGACATATATAACACCATTTTCCCTCCCCAGATGTTCAACTTACCTGACACATTTTTTTCCCTCAACTACAAAGAAATCCATATAAAAGAGAAATAAAAAAATTAAAAAAAAAAAATAGACTGATAAGCAGAATAAACTGTTGACATCACAAATTGAACAACTAACCAAATTATTAGGTTGTTCCAATTGCAACATTTGAATTATAGATTTAAAAAAAAAGTGAAGTTACTTTTTGTTACTTCCTGATAGACATCAATATAACTTTATCTTGGATTCAAAACAAAGCATTTGACTAGGATATCAAATCATCACTCAACAGATTCTTTAAACTAAAAGACCTACACTAGAACGGTGCCATTGCTTAACACTGAATAAAACTACTTCAATAGGAATGGACTATGACAAGCAATCTTATCTTCCGAAACTATATTTTGTATCTTTACCAAAATCTGAACATACAATACCCAAATGTAAAGGCACTTTTCTCTAGTAACTATTTATCTACTACTTGAAGCAAATCCCAAATGAATAATTATCATATGGTAAAAGAAAATTAAAACAAATTCTTTCTGGCCCAAGAAAAATACAGAGTCCTCATAGAAGAAAATTAGGTCTCGTCATTGTAGCAATCCAGTTTCTCTCATAGAAAAAAACTAGTTATCCATAAAAGTGTTTGAAGTTTTAACTGATAAATATGACTAGCAAAAATTTATTAATGGAAAATATGAAAAAGGAGATCCATACAAGGCAAGAAATTAAGTAGTTCAAAGAAAGATTTAGTGTGGGCAATGCAAAAGACGTTTCTCAAAATGGAAATAAAGGACATGGGGGTAACAATATGATGTATTGATTGCTCATAAACTTACCAAGGCAATAAGCTCTAGCTATAATCCCTACCAAAGGCTTCTGAGGCTCAGTTTGTAATTATAAGAACTTTAGTTGACTTCACAAAAGAATCAGAGGGTAATCACTCATGCAATGCTCCAAAGTACGTTACAAATAATGAATCAATGTATACAACAATCTTGGACAAATGTACAACTAACGAACACTTCTGTACAACAGAATCACCAACAAGCCCCAAAATCTGCGGGTACACCACCAAAAAGGAAGAAAAAGACTATGTTCAGCAACACAAGATCTCAATCCAATAAATTTCAACATTTTAAATCTAGAAATCAGCAGCTAGAAATAGAACCATATGAACAGAGAAATAAGGACACTTCAATCAAACTGATTCATCAACACAATATTATACTTTGAATAAGATAATGTTGGGAAAATTTGCTATTATAACATGTTCTTTGGTGAATCACCTAATATGCCAGATCACAAGTCACAACATGGATTCTGGGTGATCCAGGTTCACCAATGAATCCCATAACCATTTATTTTTGTTTTTGTTTCTTTTATTTTTTTATTTTTATCTAAGAACATCATATAAAGCAGTGGCGGTCTGCAAAAGTGTAATTCAACCTAGGAAAGGGTAGGAATAAAACTGACATTATGAAATGGGATAAATGGGGGAATGAGTTTTTCTAGTTATTTGAGTAAAACTCAAATGAACATTAAGCAATAATGCAAGTTTGTAAATAAGAAACAAAAGGACTTCAATGCGTTATTGTTACTGAAGCAACTAACCGGAAATATCATGAGTGGCTAGAGTGCTAGACTTATTTTCCAGAACAGCATGTTGGTTTTATTACTTTGGGACAGAAAAATTCAGGAAATTACTAAAACACTATGAGAAGGTATCTTATGACATCGATAATGGCCACAAAAAAGTGAGGTTAGCAGGGTAGGCAGGAATTCTTCCTATCCAATACAACCAAGGTGTCCAATTACAGCTACTTAGGATCATCAAATGAAATTTTACACATTCAGGATGCTTATCCCTCATACCCTTCAAAAGTCCAAAAGCATCGAAGAATTAAGCACTATTAAAGTCGTATAAGCAATCAAATAGACATGGATCACAACAGAGTATCAAATTTGATTCTCTACCCAATATCAAATATCAAGTAGAAACTAACAGAATTAAAGATAGACATATGGAAAAAAAAATAACAAAATTCCACACAGCAGTATTAACCCACAAAGTTTTGTAAGTTTTCAAGATTAATGAACAACAGGGAACGAATTATTTCTCCAAACAAGACATCTACTACACAAATTTACATAGATAATCAAGAAAACTAGTAGAGATTTCCAAGCAGAAACCTCTTTCAATAACAAACATGGAAACTGTAGAACATTCCAATTGCACCCCATCCAATCCCCAAATCCAACACAAAAAATTAGAACCAACTGGAATGAAGAAATAGAAAGGAATCCCATAAAAGATTGGGGATAAAAATTGTTCCAATTTCCAAAACCCAATTAAATCATAAGGAAAGGGATATCCATGGCACAAACCCCAGATCAACATCCAATCATCACACCAATTCAAAACAAACCCTAAACCTAACCCCAAACCCAAACCCTGAACAAAATTAAATCATCATAAAAATTCATGAATTTTCATGGGGAAATTAAAGTAAAAAAAGCATCATAGCACAATAACCAAAGTGAAAGAGAAAAACCAAACCCAATTAGGATCCAGAAAGATAAATTGCAGATACTAACAAAAAAAAAAATCGAATATTTAGCAGAACAAAAGATGGGGATTTACAAAAAAGGGTTGATTTTTATTTTTATTTTTTTTCCTTCCTCTTCTGGGGTTGGTCTATGCAAGAGATCTCAAAGGATGCAGAGAAGAAACAAGACACGGAAAAAATTGGAATTCCAACATAGAGGGTTTTATTACTTATTTATTTAATATAATATAACATATATAATAGAATAGAATTGGGACAAACAAAGATGAAATTTGTAACCAAAAAAAATTTGAAAATGCAGCCTGCACCTATCAACAAGGATATTGATTCACGGGTCCAAACACATTGGGCTAAATCGTGGGTTTAAAACATGAAACTGGTAGGGTACGTATTCGTATACGAATAAGATACATCCAGACATGTATTCCTTCTCTTAATAAAATCTAGAGAAAAAAAAAAATTTGAATTTTTTTTCATACTTTTTTATGAGATGAGATGATTAAAAAAATTAAAGATAGATAAAAATTATATTTTTATATTTTATCTTACTTTTATATTTATTTTAATTTTTTATATGTTAAAATATTTATTGTAATTTTTTATTTTTTATATTTAAATCAATTTATTTCTTTTAAAATAATATTATTTTTAACTAGCGGGGCCGAGGCACTTCGTGCCTCTATGAATTTTATCTCTAATTTTAAAATAAGGCACGGATTGAATGAATTCAATCTTGACATATAATTTTATAAATAATTTTACACAATATAATATGATAAATTCAATCATTGTTCATTGATGAAGTGCATAATAATCAAAACATGATAGAAGGCCAGTTCATATAAAATAAAAATTTATGTTCTACATAGTTATATTTTCAATAATTGAATAAAATAATATATAATAATAAAATGTAATTTTTCCATCATAAATTTTTTTTAATAGGAAGATCAAATAATGAATTCGCTTCAGGACGATTTATAGCTTCCCTGCAAATTATGAACGAAAGCAACGAAATTAAATGACAATAAATAATACACAACATTTTAAATAAATAATAATTAAATTGCATAATGTCATACTTTTCGAGAATAAATTTTAATTCTTTATAAAATGCATCGTCTATAATTTCTTTAACTTTAAAAAACTACATAAACAAATAATATAGTGTCAAGTATGAATATGAGAGATTTAATATTTGATGTAAATTTTTATAGGTTACGAAAAAAATTACAACCTCAAAAATGGAGATATCTTGTTTTGCATGAAAGTTATTAATATGACAGACATTACTCGATCTTGCATTTTCAAGTATCCTATTATTGTAAAAAATATGAGTTAGAATTTATTTAAATTAGCTAATAATACAACTATATTTTTATATATATGAAATTATCACATATAAACTATTTTTAGAACCATATTATTATATTACGTTTCTAATTTTTGAGACAACAATTCTTTTTTCACCATTTTCCAAAGTTGGGTTTTATCTACTATTACTTTAGAACTCTACCCAATAGAATATATACTTTTAAACGATGAACCTGTCACAAAGAAAATACAATTAAAATTGATAAGCAATAACAAAATATGAAGTCTAACTATGAATTAAATTGAACATTGTTGTCAATGAGAGAAATTGTTGAGAGTGAATCATTGTCCTTCCAAATATTCCATAATTTTTCAAAGTCATCCTCCTAGTAAACATAAGTAATATAATGAAAAATAGATGATAATAAAGTTGCATAATAAAAGGTGAATAAATATGTTATCACTTACCTGTTTGTCAAAATACATATTCAAATTCTTTTTATTGATCTCTTCATATAACTGGAGGATCTCGTTGAATCTTAATTTGACTGTAGATAAAAAAATAAAAGAAACAAATTTTAGTTTTTGTATATCAGTATCAAGTATTAATTTAAATCCATCATAGTTATAAATTAAAAGGGGCAACACCTGATTTTGAGATAACAAAATTTCTTTAAAAACAATATTTTTCGTAAAGTTTCCATCTTCCCCTTCAAGTTTTCCTTCTTTAATAAGAATTTTCGTTGAAGCTTGAGAAACACCTCTTGACAAAGCAACATATAATTGACCATGACCAAAAACATGTCGCGGAAGATAAATTCCAACATTGGGTATTGTTTGTCCCTGTGACTTATTTATGGTAATTGCAAAACTTAGTTTCACAGGAAATTGCTTCCTAATAAGTACAAAGGGAAGTCCTGCACTTTCTGTTGTCTTATGTTTAATCCTGGGCAAAAAATATCTCTTTCCATCATTATGACTTGTTAGGATTTCAACATCCAACATATTCATAAAGAATCCATGGCATAATAACCTTGTTCCATTACATAAGCCAGCTTTAGGATCTATGTTTCGCAACAACATCAACGGAGCACCTTTTTTAACCTACAGATTATGTGGTGGAAAACCACCTAGAGTAATAGAGTGCAAGTATTCTTGTTGATATAAGTTGTGTGTGTCTCCTTCAACCTCATCAAATGATAACAAATGTTGTTCTTCTCCTAGGAATTGGTTGATGATAATGTCATTAAGGTTTTGAACATCCTCATTTTTTGGTGTTAGTATGGCTCTTTGTACCATATAAGAAGCATCTCATGTATGAGATTCTAAATGTGAAAATGTGTCACAAATAATTTTTTGTATTGAATTTTCCCCTTCCCATGTTATTTCAATTTGATGGGGAACTTTGACCATATCATCCAATTTGATAGGTTCATTACCATCTGCAATGCGCATAAGATATTCAGCAAAATTAGGATCTTGTAATGATCGCATGTTTTGTCTCAAATGTAAAACCTTTGTGATAGGCCATAAATGAGACCTAACAATACATGCATATATCATTTGTGCCTTAGTACCCTTTGGAACAACAGGAAACACCTGATGAAAATCCCCTCCCAATATCATGATTTTACCACCAAATGGAGCATTACAATCTAGAATATCCTTTAAAATTAAGATTTGAAATTTTCACACTATTAAAATTGAAATTAAATTTAATGTTGGTCATAATTTAAATTTTACTTTTGAATAGTTATTTTAAATTTAAAATTGTTGAAAAAATAATGAAGAAAAATAGAAATCATTGTTAAAAAGGACTAAACTTACATACATAGTTAAGAAAATGTATAAAACAATTAATTGTTAGAAGTTATAGTTTATTATTGTTTTGTCTTTAGTATGCAAAATACCAACTATTGATAAATACTCAAAAAATACCAACAATAATGAAGATTCAAAAGAGAGGAATAATAAAAACCTTACGGCCGTGGATCCGGAATTGATAAAGCCTAATTCCGTTTGCCTTTAAGAAATCGGATGTGGACTCTGGATACAGTTCAAGACACAAACAAACATTATTCTTTTAAGTTAAGTGTAAATTACATTTATATCCATTAAAGTTTTAGGAAATTGTATATATACTTTGTTGAATTGTTTAAAAAATAGTATATTAATTAAGTCACACATTACTGAAACCTATGTTATTTGTTTAATTATTTTAAAAATATGACATTATATCATTAATAATAAAAAAATATGTACAATTTTTCAATAAATAAATTTGTCTCTTTCCAATTGATGGTTTGGAGACACTTTTGCATGCACTAAAGAAGCCAATAAAACACAAAAAGAATGTAGTAGAAAAAAATGAAGATGAGATTGAAAGAATGTACCAGAGTAACTATTTAGGAGCATTAATTAGTGAAAAATTAAGTTTTCCATAAAAATGAAGATGAACTGTTAGATGATGAAACTGCATAATCCCAACAAATCTCAAAATGCCTACACAGTATGTTAACAATCCCTAATCTACACTAACACTATATAATTCACAGATTTTCACAAAAAATCACAAACAAATCATACAGACAATAACCTGGAAAAAAAACTGCAAAACTAATAAAATATCATTTTGAATCCTTACATGCGATGAATTTGTAAGTAAAAAAAAGAAAAAAGAAAATCGTAACATGCGAATATATAATAGTTATGAAAATCATATAATCCATTAAATGTTTTTTAAAACTGCACATCATGAAAGAGATCGTATCATCCTCTACGAAAATATAGGACCGAAAAATAGATAGGCAAAAATTTATTTTTTTAAATAAAATAAAGTGATGTAGCAAATTTAAAGTCACGTAGCGAAAATTGAAGTAAATGAATGAGTGAATTTACACACAAATGAAACAAAACCAAAGACTAAATGTGACTTCCTGTGTTATGTGTATGAATGCACGTGTGAACCACAAATTGACATGCACTTTAAAAAAAACTATTTCTTATAACATGGAAGCACCAAAAATAAATTTAAACAAAATAAAAACATTGTATGTGCTTTTATTATCACAAACACAGAGACAGAGACAGAGGAATAAAAACCTTATGGTGGAAACGGTGCGTTTCACGTTTGAATCATCCTGGAATTGAAATAGTCAACCTTATAAACCACAAAGACGTACTTAAAAATAGAGATAGATTTTTATGTAGTAAGGCGGAGAAGAGCACAAATTTCAGTGAAGTAACGCGTTCATAATTAACGAATTAGGGTCCCATTCACGCTACTAAATTAATTCGTTCAATTTTTTTCTACTTTTTATTTCGTTAATATTTTCTATTATTTATTTGGCATACAAGAAGGATTTTAAATAAAAGTCACCATTGAGAATATCTTCATGATTCACGTTAAATTTCAAAACTTTGCTTTAATTTTATTTAACAATCATAATATGTACCATTAAATAATAACAATAAATTTTTTATAATGAAATTAATTACATACATTTATGTAATTAATAAACTGAATGTATTTCTCAAGTTTAGTCTTTTTTTTACAATTCTTTTTTTTTTTTTGTGTATTATTTTTACAAAGAATTTAATTTTACTGAAGTTATTAAAAAAGTAAATTTTAAATATATCTATTTTCTAAATTGATTTTTCCCTTTAAAATTATAAAAAAAAAATCATATTTAAACTTACTATCTTAACACATTTAAAAATTTAAATATATAACTATATTTTAATACAAATTCAAATGTAATATATGTCTAAGTTTAAAGTTTAAATCTTAAGTTTTAAATTTTAAATGCTAAATTTATGAATTATGAATTATGAATTATGAATTATGAATTATGAGTATGAATATGAGAGATTTAATATTTGATGTAAATTTTTATAGGTTACGAAAAAAATTACAACCTCAAAAATGGAGATATCTTGTTTTG